TGCTGCTGCTGCTGCTGCTCTTGCTGCTGCTGCTGCTGCTGCTGCTGTCTTTACAGTCTGAAGCCGGCAGCAGCAGACTCTGTTGCCGAAGTCTGTTTTGTGCTGCTGCTGCTGCTGCTGCTGCTGCTTCGGGAGGCGCTACAAGGGTTACAGAGAGGCAAGGAAGGTGTACAGACACCATAGCGTAGGCAAGCGCGCCTCGCAGCAGCGGCTGCTGCTGCTGCTGCTGCTGCAGCAAATCTTGCAGCAGAGCCTCCTCCTCGAGCTCCGCATCGCCGGAAACCTGCCTGCTGGTGCTGCTGCTGCTGCGGCTGCTCGTCCTGCTGCTGCTGCCGCTGTAGCTGCTGTTTTTGCTGCTGTTGCGGCTGTGTCTGCTTGTCCTCCTGCTCATGATGCTGCTGCGCCTGCTGCTGCGGCTGCTGGGCCTGCTGCTGCGGACACTGCTGCTACTGCTGCTGCTGCTGACGGAGCTCCGAGAGCGGCTGCGCGCCTTGCTGCTGCTGGCTTCATTTTGGCTGCAGGTCCCTTCGGGGGATGCTGCATGCTTCTGCTGCTGCTGCTGCTGCCGCTGCTGCTGCCAGCTATCTGTGCCATTAGCTTTGGTCTCTCCTGCTGCTGCTGCTGCAGCTGATAGGGATAGTGATGATCCAGTCCTCGTTGCTGACTTTGCCCCTTCTCTATGCTCGCCTTCTTGCTGGCTCTGTCGCTGCTGCTGTTGCTGCTGCTGCTGCTGTTCATCTTCTGTGTCTTCTTCAGAAGAGTCTCCAAGTAGTGCATCCACCGCCCACTTCAGCCAACGCCCGGCTCTGCCGCTGTTGCTGCTGCTGCTGCTGCTGCTGTTACCGTTGCTGCGCGGTGGTGCTGCTGCAGTCACTTGGGGCAGCCGCCGCCAGGCCTCGCTCTGCAAGGCAAGTCGAGCCTGGTGCTGCTTCTGCTGCTGTTGTTGCTGCTGCTGTGGCTGCTGCTCTTGTTCCAGGTGCCCCTGCTGCTGCTGCTGCTGTTGATCTGACTGCTGCTGCTCTTCCTGCAGTAACGAAGGCTTACTTGGAAATTCTTGGGCATCGATGTTGGAATTCTTATCCTGCAGTTGCCGCTGCCCTTGCTGCTGTTCTTGCTGCTGCTCTTGCTGTTGCTCTTGCTGCTGCTCTTGCTGCTGCTCTTGCTGCTGCTGCTGTTCGTAAGATCCTTCCTCTGCAAGTACAGCCGGACTCTCAAGGACACCAGAAAGTTTGTCGCTTTGCTGCTGCTGCTGCTGCTGTTCCTGTTGCTGTTCCCCTTGGTGCTCGTCCTGTTGCTGCTGTTGCTGCTGCTGCTCTGGAGGCAGCGGCGGGGGCTTCTGGAAGAGAATGGACCGCAGCGCCTGCAGCTGTTTGCTGCTGAGTCGGAGGTGCAGCGGTTGCAGCAGGACATCAAGGCAGAATCTGTCAGTTGCTGCTGCTGCCTGCTGCTGCTGCTGCTGCAAAGGGATAGAGAAGCGAATGCTGCAGGCCCACCGTCGCAGCAGCGGCTGCTCGAAGCTGTTCTGTCGCTGCTGCTGCTGCTGCGCGTCATGAGCGTCTGCTGCAGCTCCTGCAGCAACTGCAGCAACAGCAGCAGCAGCTGCTGCTTCTGGGTCCAAAGACAAGGGTTTGCTTCCCTCTGCTTTCCGATCTAGGGCTTGAAGCGGCGTAGCCTCTGCTGCTGTCTGCTCTGCTGCTGTTGCTGCTGTTGCTGCTGCTGCTGCCGCGTTTGCTGCTTCTGCCGCTTTTTCAGCCTCCAGATTCTCTGCTGCTGCTGATGCTGCTTCAGCAGCATCGCTTGCTGGTGCCGCAGCACCGCTTGCTGCTGCAGCAGCACTGCTTGCTGCTGCTGCAGCACCACTTGCTGATGCAGCAGCATCGCTTGCTGACGCAGCAGCACCACTTGCTGACGCAGCAGCACCACTTGCTGCTGCTGCAGCACTGCTTGCTGATGCAGCAGCACCGCTTGGCGCTGCTGCAGCCTCCGAAGCAGCTACGGAATCTTCTGCAGCTGAATCAGTTTGGCCGTCGCCGTCCTGTGCAGCAGCTGCTGCAGCAGAACCTGACGGCTGCAGGCTGCTGCAGGCGCTGCTCAAAGAAAAGGCTGAAGTTTTGCTGCCAGCGCGGGCTCGCCACCTCATTTGCTGCTGCTGTTGCTGCTGCTGCTGCTCTGTATCAATACAAACGGTCAAGTCCGTCAATATGCACTCCCTCTGCAGCGCGTGCTGCTGCTGCTGCAGCTGCAGCAGCTCTGAAAAGTGGTGCGGGTGGTGTCTGCTGCTGCTGTCCGCATGCAGCAGCCCCTGCTGCTGCTGCTGCTGCGGCGGCAGCCGCACAACTAAAGAAGATAAAGCCACAGACACAGAATGAGGCCCGTGCAGCAGCTTAATATTTGAGTTTGTGATCTGCAGCTCAATGCTCAGCAGCAGCGGCAGCAGCAGCGACGAGCCCCACTGCCGGCCTTCCGCTGCTGCGCTGCTGCTGCTGCTGCTGCTGCTGCTCGCGTCACGGCGCTGAGGGGCACCCGCTGCGGCAGAAGCCGCTACAGCGGCATCGCTGTCCCCGCTACCAGCCGCTGCAGCAGCACCAGCACCAGCAGCAGTAGCTGCTGCTGGTGCTGCGGTGGATGAAGAGGTTCTTGGAGTGTCTGGAGCAGCAGCAGCGGCTGCTGCTGTTCTTGCAGCTGCTGCTGCTGCTGCTGATGCAGCTGAAG